TCCCCATTTTGAATTGGAAACAACTTTTAACAAGTCGAGGGCCTTCAGACATTTAGCCTTAAGTGATTTAATATGCGGCAAAAACGTAAAGTGGGAATCGAAAATAAGACCCAGAAACTTGGCCTCCCTTACAACTTTGATAGGTGTGTCGTTTAGAAATAGTTCAGGGTCTTTATGTGGTTTGTATTTACGGCAAAAATGTATGCATTTGTTTTGGACTTAGAATATTTAAACCCATTTTCGAGACACCATTTATTTATTTTGTTTAGACATAACTGCATTTGCCGTTCAATAGTATGCATATTTTTGCCACGACAAGAAATATTAAAATCATCCACAAAAAGAGATCCATCAATTGAATCATTTAAAACCTTTGATAAACTGTTGATTTTGACACTAAATAAAGTCACACACAAAATACTACCTTGTGGGACACCTTGATCCTGATTGTAATGATCAGACAGGGTAGAACCCACCCGGACTTCAAATTGCCTGTCAGTTAAAAAGTTGGATATAAATTGAGGCAAACGGCCTCTCAATCCAAAATCGTGTAAATCTCTTAAAATACCATGTTTCTAGATCGAAAAAGATTGACACTGCATGTTGCTTTTGAATAATGGCATTTTTAACAAAGGACTCTAAACGCACTAAATGATCGATGGTACTTCTGTTTTTACGGAAACCACATTGAATATCTGTTAGAAAGTTATTAGTTTCCAAGTACCACACAAGTCGATTATTTATTATGCGTTCCATGGTTTTGCAAACGAAGCTAGTTAATGAGATCGGTCGATAATTCGAAGGATCAGTATGATCACGCCCAGGTTTAGGGATGGGTACAATAACAGCATCGCGCCATGAAGAAGGAAACTCTCCAGATGTCCAAATATCATCGAAAATATTCAAAAGGGTCTCTAAGCATGATTCTGGTAAATGCTTCAGAAGTTGATAATGGATGTTATCAGCTCCTGTAGCAGTATCATGGGCCTGGTCAAGAGCAGTATGGAGCTCATGAGTCGAAAATAATTCGTTGTAATCTTCCCCATTATCTGAAGTAAAATTGATAGATTTCTTTTCTTGCTGTTTTTGATACTTTTGGAATTGGGGTGCATAATTTGAGGAAGAAGAATGTTGTGCCAGTGTTTCGCCAAGTTTATTAGCAATATCGGATTTATTAGTTAATAACTGGTTTCCGTCTTTGAGATGGCGAATACTAGATCTAGAGCCCTTACCTTTTATTTTCTGGATCACATTCCGTACCTTAGAAATAGGCGTTCGGGAATTGATATTAGATACATAGTTTTGCCAAGATTGGCGTTTATTTTGTTTGAATGTACGCCGTGCCTTAGCGTTTAACATTTTAAATTTGTTCAAATTGTGGACCATAGGATGATGACGGAAATAATCTTCAGCTTTTTTCCGTGCCTTCCTAGCCTGTTTGCAATCAGCATTAAACCATTGTTTCCGTATGTGTGGAATTGTAGAGGACTTTGGGATACACTTATCAGCTATGGTGCTTAATATGTCAGAGAAATCTTTTATAGCATCAGGAACATTAATAAAACGTTCAGGTTTAAGTTTGTCAGTACCGAGTTTTTCATATAAAGGCCAGTTGGCCTTTTTAAAAAGCCATCTTGACGATGGAGGAACATCAGTTGGATTCACGGGTTTTAATATTGTTGGGAAATGGTCACTTCCACAGAGATCATCGTGGACTGACCATTCGAATTCACTCAATAGGTTGGAGTCACAAATAGACAAATCAAGAGCTGAATATGTTCCTGTGCCAGGATGTAAATATGTCTTTGAACCGTCATTATAAATACACAGATCATTATTTGAGATGAAATCCTCCAGTAATTTACCTTTGGTGTTGGTATTAGTACCACCCCATAGTGGGTTGTGGCCATATAAATCACCCACCATCAAGCAGGGTTTAGGTAGTTGATCATAAAGAGCTTGTAGATCAGTTAACTGGATAGCAGATGAAGGTGGAAGATACAATGAACAGAGAGTAAATGCAACTTGTAATGTAAGTCGCACTGCCACGGCTTGGAGATTTGTTTTGAGTGTGACTAAGCTATGGATGACATTACTCCTCACCAGGATAGATAATCCACCAGTAGCTCTATCACCTGGGGGAGAAAAGTAGTGATATGCATTAAACTGACGTAGGTCAAAATGATCCGTCTGCTTTAGATAGGTTTCTTGAATGCAGAATACTGACGGATTAAGATCTTGGACTAATAGCTGTAGGTTTCTTTTGATAATTCTGACATATCAACAGAGCAGTAATATAATGCGCACATAATACCGCACTTCCCCCTCAAACGGTAATTTGTGGCCAATTCAGCTCCCACAGGCTATTGAAAAATAGCCTCCTGAGTTTGAGGCATCGTTGGATGTCCCCTATATTTCTATATAAAAAAAATAATTTCAATTTATGAAAAGAAAAAATAGCAAAAGGCCCCAGTGGCCACAATCCCATACGGAGAAATTAAATGTTTTTTGTGGGTTTTTTTCTGTGCTGCTGATTCCTCCCTAGGGATTGTGTATTGACTGCCTCTCTCCCTGACAGGTCTCATTAATGGTACCATCCAAGTTAATTCAGAGGTGAATGATACACGTCTGCACCTTGATCGTACCCGCAGTCAGTCATCCAACTAAGCCATCGAGGACATGATAGGTGAATGTTTGATTCTTTTAGTCAACACTGAGCTTGCATTCATTCAGCCATTCAGGTGCGAGAGATATGTGTCATCACGACAAAGATAAGCAGTCTAAAAATAAACTAGGTCGATCAGCTCACCAACTTTGTCATTCGTACACTCAAAATAGACCGATTAACAATGTGAATACTACACCCATGGGTGGTCTAACTTACCCTAGGGACAATTAACTACTTTATTTCGGAAGAACACAATCCGTTATTGCGTATTTAGTGTCTTAATAAACGAAGCGATAAGTGTAAGTGTAATCCGTGATGCAAGAAATAGCTTAAATTCACGTTTCATTCACAAAGGCTCTATAGCCTTATGCTATAGCGTTGGACCGAGAATACAGTGCTTGTGTGTTTGAATAATGCTGGAGGACAAAAAATTTACTTTTAATTGTTTTAGAAAACTGCGTTTTGGGGTTCGAATCAGGTATAGGCATATTTTTTTATACTATTTTTTTCAAAAATTAATATTAATACACATTGACATCGAGAAAACAATTCATAATTAATTTCCTATAATTTCTTTGGTTTTGGTAAGGAATGCTTGACGGGCTTGTTCTCTCCCTTGTGCTATAAACATTTTTTCTCTTCTTCGCTGATGCCATTGGTTTTACAAGACTTGGTTCGAATCTCTTGTTTCATCGCGTTGTATTTGGTGAGTTCCGACAGCTCTAAACGATACTCTTCTTCGTGGAATTTACTATCCTATAGGGCTGTCAGACATGATCGTCAATGCTATTCAACTTATACTCGGCTAGAATGCAAATGCTATCGTGTTTCAACGCCTTCCGTTGCAGCCATCGCGAAATAAATTTAAGAGCTACTCGGGTTAACCTTGTGATCCCCGATGCTATTTCCTTAGTGAGCACGATTGGTGTGGCAAATTGAATGATCGTTGATAATAAAAACCGCTTCCAACCGCACCCTCTGTGCCATGTCCACGCCATCAATAGCATTCATGGCTCTGTGATACCTTTTTCGTAATCAAATTCGTACATCGCGCTCCTGTTAGATCTGATGTATGATGTCACGTATTTATCGCACACGAAATCCATCCACGGTCTCCAATGTTCAAGCTACTTCATCCATGGCCGGGTACAATCCCATCTTGATATAATATAGGTTAGGAAATAACCTTCAATTGGTTCTCCAACAATATTATATTGGTATATTTCAGGCTGATTGGGTTCACATTTTCGTATATATAAATACGCTTGATTGAAATTGGATATAGTTCACCTAGAATAGAAACATAGACCCCCACGAGGTTTGTAAAGGGACTGTTCCTGGCTATTCATAAATACAACAACAATGATGTTTATGTTCATTACCCCGGGCAGCATCACTACAAAATAAGTTTGTTTCCTGAAACTGAGAAGAAACGCCATGGAAACCACCATTTCCAGTTGGTTTCCAGGTAGTTCCTACAGTTTCATTGTGGTTTCCATGAAAACTGAAACTGACTTTTGCACCATTTCCCGTTGGTTTCCGGTGCGTTTCATTACCCACTCCTCCAAGCAGGATCCAGCTGGTTTCCATGTTTTCGTTTATTGTAGGTTTCAACCTGGTTTCCGTGTTTTAGTTTATTGTTGGTTTCAACCTGGTTTACATCTTTTCGTTTATTGTAGGTTTCAACCTGGTTTCCATGTTTTCGTTTATTGTAGGTTTCAACCTGGTTTCCATGTTTTCGTTTATTGTAGGTTTCAGCCTGGTTTCCATGTTTTCGTTTATTGTAGGTTTCAGCCTGGTTTCCATGTGTTAGTTTATTGTTGGTTTCAACCTGGTTTCCATGTTTTAGTTTGTTGTAGGTTCCAACCTAGTTTCCAAGTTATAACCTAGTTTCCATTAAAATTGAAACTACATTTTGAACCAGTATCCGGATGGTATCCATGTCGGGACTTTACCCACTTGTCCATGATGCTCCTGCTGTTGCTTCGTTTATTGTTGGTTTCCAACCTAGTTTCCAACTTATAACCTGGTTTCCATGAAACTGAATCTGTTGTGCCGGTCCTTTACCCGCTCCTCAAGAAAAGAGGTTGTGTGTCATGCATTACACATACCAAATCAGGTATTTAATACAATTGCATAATGGTAAACCCGTCAGGATGACAAATAACAGAATAGAACACAAATCCATGAAAAATCTATTTACATTCAACAATTTGTTGATAAACAAATAATATTTGGAATGTTCACATCAATAAAAAAATGAATTTTCAAAATGCATAAATAATTAAAAGCAATAAGGGAATAAACAGCAGTGAGTATGGAATGTTGTAGATCAATCCATATTACTTGGTTTTACAATTTGAGAAATGTTAACTCTTTCCCCAAGAGGGGAAGAACTTTCTGCTTCTACTTCTCCGGCCAGTCTATCGTTGTCAGGACCTTCTTCCTGCTTTCCAGCTTCTGAAATTTAGAAAACAATAATCAATCATTACAAACAAGCATTCGTCAACAATATCGCTAGCTAGAGAAAGGAAAAATGTTGTCTGAGGTAAAATAAACCGAAACCACTGTAACTTAAAACTGATCATTTGACCTGAAAAGTGACAAAAGTTTCAATCGCAGAAGAACTTAATGAAATTTGATAGAGTAGAGAGACAAGCGAGAGAAGGACATATTCCCTTAGCTTGGGTTCGACATTTGATGACTGACGAAAAAGATTCCCTTTCACTAAATAATAATTGTGACTTACGGAAAACATTGAATTAATAATATGTCTTAGGAAAGCCTATTGCCAATTTTTTTCTGGGAAATTCTCATGTGAAAGCCATAACTTATTTTCTGAATTTTACATACATTATGCTTAGATATTATGTGTATAGAACTACGAATTATCCATTATTTTCAAAATAATGTGAAAGGAAATGTTTGGGGTCATTCTGGCAGAGAGGAAATTGAACTAATATCTCACACTGCTATTGACAATGTGTTTACAGCTACTAACAAGTGTGGTGCTGTTAATAAATTGGTAATTGATGTGTGCAAGGTGAAATATGTCCTGACCAAAACCAACTGAGTTATAAAAATAATGTACACTGGCGTTTTACTATGTGCTATTTAAAACTCTTTAAGCTGTGAAATACACAATGCCATTTAGAAAGTGGTCAAATGTAACATATGTTATATTTGGGATTACATTTTCTTTGAAAAGTACAGATTCTACTACTTTTGTTGGATTGAGTCCCATCCGGGATTCGAACCCACACCCTCAGACTCAGGCACCTAATCGCCAGCACACAAAGTCAGATGCCTAGACCGCTCAGACACCGCAGTTCCACAAAAATGGAAGTCGGACAACTGGTAGTCTAGACTGCGGACTTTGTGTACCCCTCTGATAAGTGTAAATTGAGCTGTATATTTCTAATATAAATTGCACGTATTAAACAGTGTTCATTTAAAAAGTTCTTTTGAAGTCAGTGTACATTTCAAGAAATTACATTAACTTGATTTTTTTCAAATGAGGTTTTCATTAAAATTTTAATCTGTGTGAGGTTAGAATTGAGAATGATTAGAATTTATTTACTTACAAATCTGAACCTTTTATTGTTCTTTGCGGACAACCCGTGGGCCTCTGCTTTCCCACTTCTTTGTCTTCTAAGGTGAACGAACCCTCTTGTTCGTCCAAAACCGCCAAACTGCTTCTGAAAGGAGATATGTATAAAGTGGAAAATATTTCCAGTTGGAAGTTACAAAAATAGTGGTTGTGTAATGTTTATGTATTTTTCTGATTTAGGATTTACATTATTTGAGTAATTTTATGTACATTATTTACTGAAGGGTTTGGGTTACACATACCTGTTGTAGGTCAAGATCAGTTGATCATCTTCAGTTTTTCAAACACTGGCCGAATGGAATGCTGGAAATATAGTAATCAGGGGAAAAAATCAGGATCTTTCTAAGTGATATTGTACTCTTGATAACAATAAGGCATGAAAATAAAAGTATAAATAAATTTGCAAAGTGTAGATATGCTAATATGAAAAGAGACAAGATTAACAAAGTCATATATTATTTAAGGTTGACAATGTACATCAATGTATCCCATAAAGAACATATCCTATTAAACGTTCTATATATCCAACTTTCTTTGCAAACTTTTTTGTGGATCCAACACAATCCACATCTCTTCATTAAGAGTTAAATATCTTGACATGATAAGTGTGAAATTGTTTACATCAGATGATAAACTTAAATTACCTCATACATCAGTAATATAAAACTATCCAACACTAGCTTGAAAACCCTTTTTCGATAACAGCTTCCAAAAATAGTGAGTTGACAATTTATCCACTCAACAGCAATATAGTATTATGATAAATATTCATTTGGCTGAAAAAATATTTTAAATTTGTGTCCAGAGGGTGTCTTGTAAGTCTAATAACTAGACAAAGAATTTTGAAACTTCACTCAAACCATGCACCAAATATTGTCAGACAATTCCCATCAATACAAAATGACTTACTATCCCCCACTGTATTGTTTTCAATGGTACAAATATCAAAAGCAATTTTCAACAGCAAACTTTGAAACAGAATTTCCAATCATTTGATTTTTAAAATAATATTCAAATATTTCTAAATACCTTTGACGTCTTGAGTCGTGACATTGCTAGATAGATTTATGGTATATATTTTTCATGCAAAGATAATATTTCATACATTACGATAATGAACCATTTAATCGCATGTGACCTGATCCAAATCACAATCAAGTTCTTGAGTTGACTGAGTACTGGTAAAGGAAGCCATCTCTCTTGTCAAAATGTCGACACGCAATTGCTTATCGAGTTCCATCAAGTCTAAAATTTTAATTTCATTTTATTGTCCTAACTACTTATTTACGTTAAACACTACGAATAACATGAGCTATTGCTTAATTCAAGAAATATACACTGTACCTGACATGGTCGTAGAATGTTCCGTTTCTCCCTCCGCGATCCACAACTGCTCCTGTTTTCAAATTTTCACCTACCCGAAGCTCCAGAGCTTCTCGTGTAACTCTCATTGCCATTGTCTTGATTCAGATAACATGTACAAGCGAAGGAATAATCCATTGTGTTGGGTTCCTTATTGTGTTGATAACGGGAGACACAGATTTGGCCTACTTTCAAAACAACTTCTCATGAGATCAAGTGACAAAATGGCGGCAATTGTGTGTAGGGGCATTGTGGGTAATAACAAATGTGTATTCCTTTTTCGATTGACAGGTATGAAAACATTCTCTGACCCAATTTGGTCGTGATTTCAAGACAAAAATTGAAAATGACCACATCAGTACAAAAACCGTTGATTTTATAAAATGTCACGCGTGCCCACTGATTACCGACTCATTGCTTCCGGTTTCGTCTGTCAACACCTGAATCAGGTAAGTTCCAATTGTATTTACAGCAATTTAATTTTGACAACAGGTGCCCGTTAAGACGAGACAACCCCAAGGAAGCCGACACACGGACCCCGACTCACAAATGACATGACACTGATTGATTGTCAAGTACTTGAACTCATTGAACTTCATAGGTAAATGTTTTGAACGCATTTCCACAATCAAGAATCGGCAAACAAGCCAAGGAAAAAGGCTTCAGCATACAACATAGATAAGGGACAATGGATGTGGTGACATAATGAATAAATAGTCATGTTGGATGTTGTTGAGTAGTCGTATGTGTTATATAAATCAAAATTATAACAGTATAGTGATTTGGTGTCCAACAATATCAGTTCTTTTCACACACTCAACATCTTGGTTCAACAAAAACAGGTAAATAAAAATTTTGACCAATGTACCTTTTTAAATGCTGAGTCAATTCACCTTTCAAAATGTTATTCTTGTATATATACTGAGTCAAAAAAGAAACTTCACAAAATGTAATTTGAAAAATAATGAATAATTTTTCTCTGATGATACATCTATGTATCCGAAATGGGATCCATATCTTTCGACTCTAGAAAAACGTTAGCAAAACCCACTCAAACCCATCCATTCGTCGTGCAAATGACGTTAGTGCCAAATCAGGTTTTGCACGTGCAGTCAATCACGTGATCTTCGCATCGAAGTTTTCTTCATATGCACGTGTTTGCATTGGCCTCAAGAATTGAAAAAACACTTTTAAACCACAGTTCTAACGGTACTTGAAATGCCACGATTGTCAAATGTGCAACATGAACGTGCCGTTTGCATGTTGCAAGCGGGAAGATCAGTTATTGACGTCGCAAGAGCAATGGGATGCAGCCGTCGTACTGTGTATGACTTGCGAGGTCGTCTACAACAAACTGGCACCACTTCTGATCGCCCAAGGTCGGGTCGTCCACGTGTGACGTCACGAGCAGAAGACCGTCAAATCGTCCTACGTCACCTACGTGACAGATTTCTGCCGGCTACACGAACCAGGGCTGAGATGTTTAGAGGTCGACTGTCCTCACAGACCATTCGAAATTGGTTGCGGGCTGCCAATCTCCATTCTCGACGTCCATATCGTGGGCCAATATTGACGCCGTTTCATCAACGTCAACGTCTGCTGTGGGCCCAACGATACCTCCGATGGACCCAGAGAGACTGGAATCGAGGCGTCTTTAGCGATGAATCCAGGTTTACCCTCAGAGTCGCGGACGGCAGGCATAGAGTCTGGAGACGACGTCGTGAACGGTATGCCCAATGTTGTATACAGGAAGTCGACAGATTCGGGGGCGGAAGTTGCATGGTGTGGGGTGCTTTCTGTGGGAACAACCGTTCCCGACTTCTGGTCATCCGTGGAAACCTCACAGCTGCTGCTTACCGCGACCAGGTGCTCACCCCTGAACTCGTTCCTTTCATGGCGGCTCATGGCCCAGGTCTACAGTTCCAGCATGATAATGCTCGGCCGCATACCACGATGTTGACACGAAATTTCCTTCAAAATGCTGGAATCAACGTCATGGACTGGCCATCGAGGTCCCCTGACCTTAATCCAATAGAGCACGTTTGGGATGCACTTGGGAGAAGGCTTCGTGGTCTTAGGAACCAACCTCAGAATTTGCAGGAACTTGGCGCTGCCTTGCAAGAGCAATGGCGCAGAATCCCCAACCACGTGTTCACAAGCATCCAGCAGTCGATGAAGAGACGGTGTTTGGCAGTGGTGAATGCGCGGGGCGGCCATACACGATATTGAACTGAGAAATTTCGCATTTTTATTCTTGTGACTTGACATTCTGTATACCCATGTTTTGGAACGGCGGTGTAGCCTAATGGAACTGATTATGGCACTGTCAGTGTATCGAGTACATCACACAGATCTCAGCAATGAAATAATAACAATTTAACCATCTTACCATCTCTTGTTCTTTTATAGTGCCCTGAAGAAAGAATGTGAAGTTTCTTTTTTTGACTCAGTATATTTATCATTGTTTTATTATTTCTTTTTAGATGAGGAAAGTCCCTCATCCTCAGTTTGGCAAAGCAGACAACTGAACCCTGGACCGGCCTCATTCATCCCAATCCTGGGAATCCAGACTAAGTGTGCCTGGTAGTAGTTATTTGCTAATATTTATCGTCGCACGCACAACTAATGTGTTTCGGCGACGGGTGTGTGCCTGGTGCTGGACAAAGGCCATTTGTAGTTGTTGTTCCCTTACCTCACCATTTGTATGTTTAGTATGATTATTGTGAAGTTTGTGTGTATGGTAGCGGAAATATGATACTTCTTCATTTCTCTGCCTATCACATTTATGATTTTGATAGTGAATAAAAAAGAATGTGAAGAAATGAAATGTGTCTTTTGTTTTTTTGTCATCATTTTGAAGACACATTATACAATTATGTTATTATCCACCGAATGATGCATCAACAATTATTTGGGGTAACATTTCGTCTTGTTCATCTAAGCAATCTTACAAATTATGTACTCTTTCAAATGAAAATCTGCTATTCCTTCCCCAGGCATATTCATTTTGAATTTTAAGACCTCATAATTATTCTACACAATTACTGATAATGTAATATGGTATGAAAGCAGTTAATCTTTAAAACTAAGTTTCATAAATGGAAACCAACAGTATAGACATGACCATAGTTTCTTGTTGGTTTCCATTTCCAGAACACGCCGGAGGCTCGGGTTCGATTCCCCACATGGGTACAATGTGTGAAGCCCATTTCTGGTGTCCCCCGCTGTGATATTGCTGGAATATTGCTAAAAGCGGCATAAAACTAAACTCACTCACTCACTCCATTTCCGGAACTATACGTTTACAGTATCTATTATGGATTCTATTAGGAAACTAGGTTATCCAGTTTCCATGAATGGATACCAACTGGGTGCCATGATGGTCAACTTCATGCCAAACAATCGCAAATTTTAAGTTACTTAGTTCAACACAGTGCACAGGAAACCAACATGAAACATTTTCTGGTTTTATGTTGGTTTCCATTAAATGAAACCTTCAATTGCAAATTCAAGGAATGGAAACCAACAAGAAACCTATAACCTTAGTTTCTTGTTGGTTTCCATTTACAGAAATGCAAAAATCACAGAATCCAAAATGGAATCTAGTTGGAAACACAGTTACCCAGTTTCAGTGAATGGAAACCAACTGGATTCCGCAATTACCGACTATACGGATGGTTCCCAGGTATCAGGAAACCGAGTCATTTTTGTAGTGCGTACTGTTGACCCATCCAAAAGTTTCACATAGAATTTCCAAGATAGAGTTGAATGATAAGTGTAGAGTGTAATTTTATACTGAAATCAGTATTTGAAAAATTTAGTGGTATTTGAAAGTGGTAATCAGCAATGTCAAACTTTAATAGTGCACTTTTGGTGGTCGGGGCTAACATAGAGCCTGGGTGATCTGGTATTAGCAAAATGTTTATGGTATTACGTTCCGGAGTGGAAGCCATGAACACAATCGCATTATTTTTTAGTTTGATGACATAACCCAAATCATCTAGAACCATATATGGGTAGGTTAGAGTAATATTCATCAACCAGTCGATTTTTGGTTATGATATCAACATCCATTTGCCATCGTCGATGAGTACGAGATGGTACAATGTGTTTTTTAAGAGTCCCTCAGTCTCAACGTCGTTTAAATCTCCCAGTTCTTGTCGTCTGTATACATTATTTTGTAAGTGCAAGGCGTTTTCAGTACCAGGTTGATCGAAACCTTGTGTGTCCGCGAGATCAGAGAACGCGATGGTAGCGAGTGGACTAAGGTTTTGTGTCCCTGAAACGTCATCCATGGTCATACTAGTTTATGAAATAGTCTCCAATTGGTTCTCTGACAAACATTAAGCTGATTTTTTAGGTAAAAAAATCGTCGTAAGTACAGATTTTCCCCTCCAAGTTAATCGTCACCCCCTCAAGGCTTGCATAAGCATTGACTTCTTTCTGTATATAAATCGCGCAAACATGATGTTGATGTTTTCGAGGCCAACAGAGTTTTACCCTCGTTATAATTTCAGTATCTTGGTCTGGTGATGCCCACGAGTAAGACTTCGAAATAAAGCGTAGAATTGTTTGGAATCCCTTGAAAAACATCTGACATGTTTTCAAATTCAAGCACCAACTGTAAACTCGTATTTGGGTTATCTGGTCGACTCGCTAGCAAAAGACCTGCTTTTCTCGGGATGGGGCTCACGAGCACACTCCTTCTTTGTGATGGGACGCAAGCCATGATTAGAATCCCATTATTGATGACTTTTGTCAAAAATGATCCTTAGTCTCCGTAAACACATAGGGAGAAATGAGGGTGATATTGAGTAGTCAGTCGATTTTGGGTGAGAACAATGTCCATTGGTTATCATCGGTAAGGATAAACTGGTACAACGTGTTTTTAAGAGACCTCTGTTCTCGACATTATCTAAATCGCCTAGACTGCCATCGAATGCTGGGACCATCACTCAGTTATTCCCGTTGCAAATGACAGCCTCTAAATCTCCTAGGTTACCACCACCTCTCCAGAGGTTACTTCTGCTGGTCTGTAAACATTGTTTCTGAATTCTAAAACGTATAACTTGCCTTCGACACCGAGTTCATGGAATCCTCGCGTGTCCCTGAGATCGCAGATCGCGGTGGTAGGGCATTTTCTAGGGCGCTGCATTCCGGGACCAGAAGCTTCGACCATTACACGACCATTATTTGATGCACGCTCAGATATCCTATATTCACTGGTCGATGTTTTATATCTAAAACCGAGACTTTGAGTTCCGTGATGATGCCCTGCATTAACTTTTTGTGCTATAAGAACGGGAACGATTCAGTTCTACTGTCGTTGTACTTTTCGTGTTTCACTGCCATGGCTCTTAATAGAGTCGAAAGGCATTTGATATGAATATTATCAGTCATACCTATCTGATCGAGATAAATGTACAGCTCCTCACAGGGAACGATGTCTGGTAATTTCTAGCCTTTTATGGTGGTTTGGTGTCGTATTTCATTCGATGTCAACCCGAGACCAATGGGATCTTTCCCACTGGTTAAGATCAGCATTCCCTCCAACTCATTTAGTTTGAGACTGACTCCAAAGGTTTAAAAATTTCGTCGTACAAACGTTACAATAGCCGTCGGACAAAATGTGGTGGTCTCCACTGATGAATAGCTTGTTGTTACCTTCATCATGATTGATATCAGTCCATTGCGCTAATACGTGAGATCACATAGTGCTTTATCCTAAAGTGATCGTATAACTGCTACCGATTTCACGCAAATGAGGGTTGTGGTGCATGCGGATGGCTCCCCTTTCTAAGCTCGGTTTATCGATCTATTAAAATAGTATAAGCTTTCTGCCACGAGTGTGAAAGCGGTACATGCTTGGTTTTCGAACTCGATTCAATCCTATCAACATCAATTCAATTTCGCTGTGTGGCGTTCGACAACGGGGTGTGGTGTGACTTTGAACAACACTTGTAGTGATCCACTGACTCATTTCATGTTTAATACCAGATCAGGTGCATCCTGAAAGAAATAAGCTAAACGATTCCGCAGGACGGGGGGTGGAATGCATCAGATAATCTGTACGATCAGCGTGTGTACGAACGTATTTGTAAAAAATTGATATTGATCCGAAGACGGTCCTACACAACACCGTATAAAACAATCTTTACAATACATTACAAAACTATACTCTAACGAGTCTGCGCAGTGGCATGTGCCACTGTTATTGGATCCCGAACAATATCTTCTAGAATACCGGATAACAGCTCTATATTTACAGCAGAAGCAAACGCCATCTTAACAGCTCTTAAATATATTCAAAGACATCCCAAACATAAACAATATATAATATTTTCTGACTCTCTTGCCTTCAGGCTATTAAAAATCTCTCTTGCAAACATCCACTTTTAATTGAAATAATCGAATTATATAATGATCTTGCTACTGGCCAATGCGACATCGTCTTTTGTTGGTTACCCAGCCACGTTTGCATTTCTGGGAACACGGTGGCTGATATTGCTGCTAAGGCAGCCCTCAACAAATCTGTGACACCACTTCTTATTCCATACTCTGATTATAAAGCCAGCATTAGAACATACATCCGCGATCTAATGCAATAGAAGTGGGACACCCAAGTAGGTATTAATAAATTACATGCAATAAAACCCTACATTGGTTACACCTACTTGGGTTGTCAGTCCAGATTTGAAGAGGTCATTATGCGACGATGTCGCATTGGCCATACTAGATATACCCATGAATATTTGCTTAAAGGCGAAGATCCTCCGTTTTGCATCCCTTGTGATGAAAGAATCAGTCAAGCATGTCTTGCTTGACTGCATTGAATATTCCATCACAAGGGATATCTATTTCAAATCAAAAACTCTGAAGGATCTTTTTAATAATGTCAGTTCTCATTTAATTATTGCATTTTTAAAAAAATTAGATTTGTTGAGTGATTTGTAAATAGATATATATTTTATTATTGGTAGTTTAGATTAGTAACTGAGATTGTTAGTGGCTGTATCCTCAAAGGGGGTTGAAGTATTGTAAAATTATTGTCCTCCTGAGAGGGTACGTAAGTCCCAAAACATTTAGTCAATCTAAGTGTACCTGCTTTTTAATCGTAGAATAAGTGTGTTTTTAATTTATGGCTCGATGTCTCTTCTGTCGCCAATGGCTGAAGGGATGGTGTAAATCCAACTAGGGTCCATGCAGGTAGCAAAAGTAATGTAAGTCCCCATGGCTCCTAGTCTGGTGATCTACCTTCAGTTGTTGGCGATCTATAGCCCATTTTTATATTGTGTTGTCCCCTATAGTTACTATGTTTTAGATTCAATTACTAGTTTTACATATATATCTGTGATACTCTAGTTGCTTTACTGTCCTTTGTCGGCAGGTTTT